GTAGTGTATTGAGCCCAAATGCCTCGACTTTCAAGGAATTTAGCGAATGGACCTAGACATTGTCCATATTCATTGAATTCCCCATAATATTCATCACCTCTATCAGACCTCACAACCTTAACTTTCTTCTCTAGCTACCTTTCCACCTCGTTGACAAACACCGCTAGGATGTCTGACGAATGGGCCTTAACATGCAGCAGATAGATATATTCATAACGTGCCTTAACTTTATCACCTTTATACTCATAACCATAAAGGTGATAAAGTATTTTTCTCCACCCCAAGAAGAAACATCAAAAGGACCATAAATATCAGTGTGTATAAGCTCTAAGAATTGAGTGCTCCTTGTGGACGCCATATTTACTGTGTGTTTGGTTTGCTTTCCTTAAATGCAATCAACACACACATCCCAGTCACAAGAAAGCCGAGTCCTCACCTAGTGCACTACGCTTAAAATTCAATTGAGGTAAAATTTCATTCTTAACCAAATTTATTTGCCTATCTTTGGAGATATGACTGAGACCTTAGTGCCACAAGAAAGCCGAGTCCTCACCTAGTGCACTACGCTTAACTCCCACATTATTTTCTACATTAAATAGAGATTCAGTAAATTTCTAATTAAGATTAAAACAATATAAGGAATCAACCAACACACTAGATCCATAAATTAAAAGTATCCTTAAATAATGAAAAGGTATTGTTCCCAAACTTGATATGAAATCCTAAAACATCCAAGGATTTAAGATCATTTACCGTCCAAGGATACTCAACCCCAACCTGAAGTATTCTGGATCATTTACCGCCCAAGGGTACTCGACCCCAACCTGGAGTATTCTGGATCATTTACCGCCCAAGGGTACTCAACCCCAACCTGGAGTATTTAGGATCATTTGCCGTCCAAAGGTACCCTACCACAGCCTTATTTCTACCAAATCCTAACCTGGATATGGCTAACCTTTCATTCCTTCAACTATGGACAATATCTAGCCCTATAGTCATGTAATAATCCTTGGTAACCAACGTGGACGGGTCCCACCCGAACGGCCCACATATACTTACTCAAAAACTGCATATTTAGTGTTTTACCCAATACCCAGTCGGGTATCCAACCATACCCGGTCGGGTACGGTGAGGCAAGAGCCCCTGGGGCTGTTTTTAACTAATACCCGGTGGGTATTTACACATACCCGGTTGGGTATAGCCTTTGACTTGGCGGTCAACGCCTGTTTGACCGCCCAAACGAAGTCTGATTAACGTGAAATTTTATACACATGTATTTCTTGACGTCCTTAATCCAAAAATGCCTTTTTGGAACCTTGGAACATCATTCATAATAATTTATCACATTTTTAATCATCCAACATATATAACATGCTTTTCAACTATGTTTTATATATAATCATGGCATAACAAATACTTGATTATCTTTAATCATTCCATAAAACATATTTTTGATTACTTTAGGTAATCTAATGCCTCACGCAAAAGTTATAAAGCATAAAGCTGTCTTCTCACCTTAAATGAAGCTTTAATGCGTTCTACACTTCTTCGTTGAACTCCGGCGAAACTCCGGCGAATTATTCCAACTCCGTGGAAGTACTAGGAACACTTTAGACAAGTTCCTAACAAGGTTTTATCATCACAAAAGCCATATTATTACAAATAACCTCTAAAAGGTTATTTTCTAGCGAACCGGTCACTTTGGCTTCTAAGTCCGTTCTTGGTCTTAGAACTACCTTCTAACCCCTCATTCCACACTTCTAAATATGTAGAATAATCCCAGGGGTGTGAAATATGATCACAAAATCATATGAGAAGATTTAAGAAAAAGAAATGGGATTAATGGAGTCATTACCTTATTAATCTCAAGTTTTTCCTCCATAACCTCCTCTTTTCTCTTCTCTATTTCTTTCCTTCTTCTTTCTTTACTTAGCTGCGTAAATGGATGAAGAAATGGAGTAATTGCAGAGCTTCTCACTCCCTAGATGATGAATGGTTCGAATGGATGGGGGTTATGGGTGATGGGAGTGGCATTTTAGCTTATTCACGATTATATGGGAGAGGAGCCCCCTTTCTCTTTACACTTTGTCTCCCCATCACTTCCTTATTATTTCCTTAGCTCAAAATGAGGCACTCCATCTTGATTTCAAGACAAAAAACGTGGGGTGGACCCCACTTAGGTGGGAGGTCATCCCTTTCTGTCCCGGTGTATACATTTGGCCCCGTAATTTTTATTTTCTGGACTGTTTTAATTATATGTTTCTCAAATTTAGTTTAGAATTCACCGAAATTCATTTCAGGTTTTTATCTGATAAATTACCAATACCGGCAATTGGGCCTTCTTTGACCAACCGGTCAAACCTATGTCTTTGCTATGGCCCAACTAGGATATCCACCACCATATACATTTTATCGAGACCAAGATGAATATAATATGTGGTCTCGGAAATATCAGGTGGCCCCCGTTCCCAGTGTGGGTCTACAAAAGGACTAACAAAAATTTACAACCACGTAAATTCATAAATCATCCTTCAAGTTTATTACATGATTTACTAAAAAGTAAATACGCTTGGAGACGGTGTTACACATAAAGATAATTATATAGATCTAAAAGACATCAAGTGTCTAAGATTAATTTATAGGTCCCTATGCCTTTGATGCGTGCTTTCATCTTATTCCTCATAAATAGAAATTGTTTATTTTCCCTCATTGGTTGGATGGACTTAAATCCCTTCATAATGTGAGAAACACGAGTAGAAACACCAGAATCTAACCACCAAGTGTTATTAGGAACTTCAATGAGATTTGATTTGAAACACACGAAACCTAAATGGCTATCAATCTTGCTTGACTTGATTTCTAACATGAATGACCTAATTGAATCGTTCGTGGACGATAAGAGATTTAACGAAGCTGCAACAATATGCATGCTTACTATTAATGCTTTGAATTAACTAATATATATTCATTCTTATAAAAACAAAACATATATGCTTAAGTTCACCTTTGCGTGATCCTTAAACATATACATAAAATGATACTAAATAATATACAAAAACTAGTCAATTAATTATACATGAATAAATGAGTGTTGTCTTTAGTCATTCACTCAATTTAATCTATGTATAAAAACGAGTCTTTTAAATTGAAATAGTTTATACATGTATGATCCACTCTTTGGTGATCTTATAGCAATATAATTTGAATGCATTATTTTATATTATTTAAATCTCGAGAAAGGATCTCGATGTTTAAACCGCGAGATCATTTCTCGAAGTTTAAACCTCGAGAAAGGATCTCGATGTTTAAACCTTGAGAAAGGATCTCAATGTTTAAACCTTGAGATCATTTCTCGAACTTTAAACCTCGAGAAAGGATCTCAATGTTTAAACCTCGAGATTGTATCTCGAAGTTTAAACCTCGAGAAAAGGTTTCCCGAGGTCAGGCCTTAAAATATTTTCGAAGTCCAACATCGAGAACCTCAACTTCGAAAAATTTCTCAAAATTCAAATTTCAAATTTTTCAACACCATGCACTGTTTTGGCCATAACTTTTGACTCGGTGATCCGATTTACGCGTATAATACCTTGTTGGAAAGCTAACGAAAAAATCTACGGGAATTCTCAGGGTTGCCCCAGAACCCAAAACCAAACGCGCTCACTCTCCCTCTTTGACCAAGATATCCTCCGTTTTCTGAAAAACATTGTCAATCACCGATGTCAAGGTCAAAACTGAGGCAAATCCGATCAATCCTTCCAAAGTCAAACCAAAGGTCAAAGCTAGTCTAAACCACTGTAGAGATCCGGAACTCGTAGATAATTCAATCAACCTCGCGTCAACGGTCATTTTACAACAATCAACAATCATCTACTGATGCCTCCCTTAACTCATCTACATTGTGTGATCATCAATGTGCTGAAATTTTAGATGATGAGCTCGGGGAAAACCGTCATGTGTGGTACTTGTTCAGATTGCTCCACACACATGGCGAGTATGATAAGCTGTGAGCAATCAATCCTTGCACATTCTGAGTGGGAGTTTCATTTTTCTCCTCCTGGCGCCTTACACCGACAAAGCAATGAATCTCTCAACGGATGCAACATTTTAGGGGGAGTTTTCAATGTTCTCCTCCCGGTGTCTAACACTGACAAAGCATACCGAGTGATCTAGTTGAGGGGGAGTACAGAGAGAAAATCAAGAAACAAAAATAATGAGAGAACATGTCCCTATGGCTTAGTAAACCCAACTAAGTCTACCCAAGGGACAAAGCCGAGAGTAAGTGAGTGAGCGAGTGAGTGAACATTATGAGCGTTAGGAAGCAGAAGGCTCAAGTGAGAAAGGAAATAATAATCAATGATAAGTCTGTTACCTCAACTGCTTGCTATAAATTGAACATTTACTCCTAGCCACTCAAATACTCAGGACAATTTCCCAATAGGTTCAGGACTGTTTAATCAGATCCCGGGTAGAAGTCACTGCATCTTGTCCAACAATGCATACTTAACCCTACCCAAGACCACTCACTTGTCTCCCGACAGACATTTGTTTAATCATATTTCACGGGGAATCTCGTCTCTCATTACTGTCTCCTTCCGAGGCAAGTGATACTGACTACAGTGGCCTCAGCCCCATGCCACTGAACTTCCATTGATCACGTCGTGTCTAGTTACCTCACCCCCAAATGTTTTGAATTTTCTAGGACACAGACAAACTTTTAATGTCTGTTGCAGGTCTTCATGACCCGCAAGAACTTCCATATGACTCATCTATTGTAGATGAAGACCAATGATCGGAAGGAAGTCCTGCTGTTGCGACATAGAAATAATCAACATGTTCAGGCCACCGCTTCAGAGTTTATCTCTATAGTGATGATAACGAGTGTCTACATGACGTCGGTGTGCTACAAGTTTTCATTGCTGATCCTTATGGTCATGCCATAACAACCAGAGTGACATCTGCTTCAGATGCTTCATAATGATTGGTTGGAAGTCCTGTTAGAGCTTTAATGTTTTTATCATTTTGTACATGCCACACATCAATGTTTACATTGATGTTGTGTTAACGGAACACCTCAGTGTATCCGGTTTTATCGTCTTAACTTTCCTTTTGTTTTTGTGTTTTGTTTCCCAGAATAAAAGAATAAATAAAGGCATGACGCCCCGATTCATCGGATCGTCATGAGGGGGAGAGTGGGCCACATGCTGTTAACTCTCAACAAATCATTCTTGGACACTTCTCTTCTATCTCTACAACTCAATTGCCAAACCAACTTCGAATCAAATGGTCCGCTACGCTCATAAGTCAACCATAATTTTCTGCTATGCAGCTGACTGGTTCTCCTCAAAAGCAATCATTTCAAATAGTAAAAAAGACAACATTGTGGAGGAGACAAATGTCAGATACTCGTGTATTGAAGATGAATCCCTTGCGCGCCTGGAAATCATCAGAACATTCATTCTAGAGACGCTTTTGGACTTCATCAAGCTGATCAAGAGTAACTTCTGGAAGGCAAGGATTACAAGCAAGATTTTCAAGATTCCTCAACCCCCGACATCAAAGATCAAATTGCCAAGAAGACCTCATAGGGGAGATTGTGAGGATTTCTTCAAAAAGCCTTCTCAAGAAAAAGGAAGCTGAGCTGCACTGAAATTCAAGACAAAAGAGGAGCAACTAAACAAATGTTATCTACGCTCTTCTCTTCATTGCTGAATCAACACAAAGACAAAGATATTTGCGCTGCAATGCTGATTGAACACGATTGAACACCAAGGGGGAGATTGTTGGGAATATTTTATGGTGTCCAAACTAGTTAAATATCTTTGTATTTGTGTACTTATTAATTAAATGTGTAATATGGGTCACAAATGTATTTCAGCCCATTAGCTTCTTTGTAACCCATAAGTTAGCCATTTCCCCCATAAAAGGAAGCTAACTTATGGAAAACAAAAGGCATGAGAGAATAGAGGCATCCAAGAGATAGATTAGTTTATACGCTGCTCTCTCTCTCTCTCTCTTATGCTCTTTGACCTCTGTCCTTATGAGATTCTTGATAGATAGAGATCTCTCAATTATACTGTCTAGTTAGTGCATAAGGAATAAACATCTTTATATAATATAAAGTAACAAATAAGGGTAAAAATTTAAATTGGATTGTCCTAGAAACCATTACTAGAAATTACACGGAGGCAATATATTAAAATGGTTAAATTGCATAGTAAATCTGTTATTACCAAAGTTACAAGATTGATCAATATCCTGTAAATCTATAAATGGATTCTCATCATTTATTCCCAAAGTAACAAACGGGTAATATTTAGTTTAAACACTAATATGGATGTTCATCAACGTTGTGAACTATACAACATGTTTTCAACCATGAGTGTGGAAAATATTTAATTAAATGATGCAAAAAATGCAATAATAATATTTACTTTATTAATTGACTACTTGAATTGATATAGTTCAATTTATTAACTCCAGATACAATAAATGTTTTAAATTATTTGATTGCTACTATAAATAGAGTAATAAAAAATATAAATATTTACCACTACTAATATTGAATATTTTACCTTAGGTTTCCCTGATGTCCCATAAGGTTTTTGATAATTTCTATTCATGTATTCATGTAAGAGCCCCGTTTGATAACCCTGTTTTTCGGTTTATCAATCAACTTTTTTATCAAACACGTAACTTTGTTTTCACACGCTAAATTGTGTAATAATAACAAAAGGTAAGGTTGAAATTACTTTAAAATATATTTTCTTAAAAAAAGATACAAAAATTATATGTAAAATAACTAAAATGGTCCTCTACTGTAACTCAACAGAATCATCCAATTCAGCCACAATTTCATATATTTCAGCAGAATCAACTGATTCAACCATTTTGGTATTACCAAAGGGGCTCTAACTATTATTACCTCCGTTCCTTAAAACTTTGCCAAAGTTGACCGACACGGTGAATAATAAAGTAAAAACTGTGTGGTTGAGATTTGTACAAAGGAGAGAGAAGTAACAAAAACAACAAAGTAGTTGATTAAAAGGGAAAGTGACAAAGTTTTTTGGGACGTACTAAATAGGAAAGATGACAAAGTTTTAAGGGACATAGGGAGTATTATGTACTCCCTCCGTTCCTATTAAAACTTTGATGTGAGTTTTCTCGCACTTAAAATAGATCGTAATATAGTGGTGTAAGTACGAGTATCGTCTCCACAGGGACGGACAAAAGGGAATCAAGAATTAATTAAATTCAGCGATTAAAAATAAATAAAATAAATGCATCGTGCGAGATTGATTGATTGGGAAAACTAAATTTCGAATAAAGAAATTAAACTATTGGATTCTTTCTTAATTAATGAAAGGGAAGAGGGACTGATTCCGGGGTAATCAGATTTCTGGCAGATCGGGCTTAATCGCATGATATTAATTTAATTGAGCCTAGCTAATCATTACTAAGTTCTTACCGCTCTCTCATGCGGCGTAGAGTACAATAATTTAGGGGACCAGGCTGATCTCTCATGCGACATGATCCTAAATTATTGCCAAGACGAGCGAGCTTACGGCCCCTTAATCGCTACTAATCTCTTAGCGAACGATTAAGTGTGTGTGAATGTGTCTTAGAATAAACTAGATCTCTCTTAATTTATTCTACAAGTAATTTTAATTCTAGCAGCCGTTCTAGGTTACAATAGATATCAGTTAAATTATTCAAGCACAAATTAAATGACATTTATGCAATTAATCCATCAAGAATCTAGCCATACATCATGCTTAACCCCTTCATCAATCTCAAATCTCTAATTAAAACTACTCACAACTCATAATTGAAGAATTGACAGAATTGGGAAGTAGAATTAATTGTCATTAATTAAAAAGATGGAACTTACAAAGAATCCCAAAAGGTTGATGAACATGTCTGAAAAGCTCTCTAAATTTCGTGCTAGGCACTCTCTCTAAGCTCCTCCTCTAAACAGGGGTTTACAGACTGTTTAAATAAGAAAAACGGAGCAATTCGGGCGAAATTAGGACTCCAGGGGGCACGCACAGCACCCACATGCGTGGCGTCCGTGCGTCCGACAGACTTGTGCATAAAAACCGTTTGACGCACGCGTGCGTCCCCCCATGCACACGTGCGTGTCTGCGAGTGAAGTTTCCGGCTTCTCGTTTCCGAATTTGGCAAAACTTCCTTGATGAAAGTTGTAGATAATTCAGTCAGCTATCCACCACGACTTGCCGAATTGGATTTGAATCATCCAATCAAGAGATATGAATAAAGAGATATGAATAAAATGGTGGAAGGTCACATTCTGAAATCGTAACAAGGATCATCTGACTTCGTCGTCTGTTTTTACTTTCTTCCTCTCCGATTCTTGCAATGGTGTTTTCATATGACATATAGAAAATGAAGTTGGCTTTCATATGCAACTTTAATCGTGTCTTTTGGATGTTTCTACAAAGAGATATGCTTGAACGATTGACAGAAGGTCATCCTGAACTTCATTTTCAAGCTCTATTTGTATTCTTTTGATCCCGTAGCCAATCTTAGAGCTCTTTTGTCATCAAATCTTCATTGTGAACCTCCTGGTGACCTCCAAATATCTCAATTCACTTTCGAATTCTTCTCAAATCGTTCCGGTTTCTTGTCAAGCGCCGGTGCTGGGCTCAAATTCCCTGATTTGGACTCCAAAAGACATAAAACTCGAACCAACGCCTGGTAACATAACTTGAGCTGAAATTGAGACTTATAACACCTTAAAGCTAGGAAAACCATCACAAGTCGATCCCAATACGCATCAAATGCGTGTCTAAATACAGACTTATCAGATTCCCCCACACTTAAGCCTTTGCTTGTCCTCAAGCAAACTAAACAACGGGACTTACGATAATCACCACACTGAATTCAAAACAATTAGCATGCACAGGTAGTTAAATGGATATTCACGGAACAGAAAGACTAAAATAAGAAAATTCTTCCCTAAACTACATCTTTGTACTCTAGCTAACTTAAATGACAAAATTATTCACAACATCCTTGAAGTAATGGCAGGAAACACTAGTGAATTAGCTACTGATCAGAAGGACTTGTGAAGGCGGTGGTGAATGGCGGATGGTAGAGAATAAAAGCCCCTTTAATTGAGAGTTTTGGAATAATCTGACAAAGACTTAATGCGTTCAGGAATTTCAGGTCTATTTTTAGGCCCAGGGAGTTCAGTAGGACACAAATTAGGAACTATCATTTAAACCTATGCAAAGAGTAGACATGGTGTACAACTAAGCTAAACCGCCGCGGCACATTGGTGCTTTGACGTACACTTGAAGTACACGAAGGACTAAAGCTAATTTTTGCAATAGCCTCCAAGTTCAATTAATTAAGTTCAGTTTTCCTTGTCATGTTGGCACGAGAACGCCATTTCTTTCGAAAGATCCTCAAGTCTCATCTTATTGTGCAAAACACTTACGCTTTTTGACCGGGTCTCCCATTCTCTTTTTCGCAAGGTAAAAGGTCTAGTTCATTTAATTATTTTTTTCAATTTTCAGATTTTTCACTAGACATTACCCCATTCTAATCTCGGTCTCACCAAGGAAAATTAGCAATTAAGGTTCATTTATTCAAAGTGAATCCATGCCTACAATGCAATCCTCGAAAATATCAAATACCTAAAAAGTGACTGCTTTTACCCCATTTGGGGCATACGAAGAGTGCCAAAGGTGGCTCCTACAAAAATTCCCTAAACTTAGCAAATTAATCTCCTAGTTCCCTAAACATCAAAGTCTTGTCAGAATTATTCACGGGTACGGAAACACATGTCATATGTCTATGGAGCTCAATTAATTGGGTGAAGAATAAAATGGTCAGACTCAAAATGGCTTCTCCTAAAGGGCTTATTCAAGTGGGATGGATGATTTAATCAATTAAATGGGTGACTAATGCTCTCATCCTTTCAAAAACTATATTACCATGAAAGCAATTTAAGCCTAAACACTTTAAAGATGTTCTAAAAGCATAGTCAAAACTCTAGCCAGTTCACAAAGACACAGTTTAAAAAAAATTCAAAAAATTTCACATGAAATTTCTATGAATATACAACTAACACCTGCACATGCTAACTCTAAAAATCACATGTAACAACTACTGCCCGAATGCCCAATTCACTCCCCCACACTTAAACTTTGGCATCGCCCTCGATGACCAAAAATGCACTATGCACAAGGGGGTAAAGAGGAAAGGATCACGCGTGCTCAATCTCAACTCAAGTCAACATTACAAATAGGCGATTATAAGAGTCATAGAAACTTCCCTAAGGCGTTGGTCGGTCTAGAACTAAACTCCGTCAATTGATCCTCGGCACATCATCCCCAAAGCAAGACCCTGAACTGCAAAACAAACACAAAACAAAACAAAAACAACAAACAAAACAAAAACAAATGCAGAAATAAGCTCGGGTTGCCTCCCGAAAAGCGCTATTTTTAACGTCATGTGCCCGACAATACCTCATATGCTCTCAAATAGCAAAGACTGTAATAATGCACTAGTAATCCACGTTTCCAGCTTCCTCTCAACAAATGCCATTAAGTGGTGCAGATTCTTAAATTCTTGAAAACACTTAGGATGCACATGGTCTTCATAACCCTCATTAGCACATAAGTGAAGGATGAAACTTTCATCCTCTTGTTCAAAATGTATCACAAGTGCCTCCTTTCTTCGTTCGAATGTACCATGAAAATTCTGAGCACCTCCTCTTGACTCGATATCACTCTCCATGAAAGCATCCCAATTCGTTTTGTCACTCTTCTTATTAATATCCTCCAAGCAGTTATGATTATTCTCCACACAAAAAGAAATATCATCAGCAAGGAATGGATCAAAGAAATCCA